GGCGAGTTTAATAGAGCTGTCCGACAAGTGCGAGGATCAGGGCCTTACTCCACATTATTATTCAAGGGCCTCGCTGAACATGGCCGACGCTACAGACGGTATTTATATGGAAATGAAACTAATACGAATGAGAAAAGCCGACGAGTTTGTTCTCACACAGGAACCAGACTGAAGATACAAGTCTGTGTCTGAAACCTATGCACAAGCAATTCATTCTAACATTTGCAGATTCATCTTGCAAAGAAAATGAGCTATAAGATAAATCATATTTGGGCTTTGAAGACCTTTGGCTCCGGTCTAAATCTCTGCACTGGTCTTTCTTCTTTCTTCTTATAATTAAAAACCGCCAACGAAAATATACAACATCCGTCACAGTCACCTTTAAAGCCACATCGAAGTTTGTAGATGATTTACACAGTGTCATTTCTCAGCTCAACACAGCCTCAGTCCTGGATCTACAGTCTCAGTCCTGGCTCTACAGTCTCAGTCCTGGGTCTACAGTCTCAGTCCTGGATCTACAGCCTCAGTCCTGGATCTACAGCCTCAGTCCTGGATCTACAGCCTCAGTCCTGGATCTACAGCCTCAGTCCTGGGTCTACAGCCTAAGTCCTGGGTCTGCAGCCTCCGTCCTGGGTCTACAGCCTCAGTCCTGGGTCTACAGCCTCAGTCCAGGATCTACAGCCTCCGTCCTGGGTCTACAGCCTCAATCCTGGGTCTACAGTCTCAGTCCTGGATCTACAGCCTCCGTCCTGGGTCTACAGCCTCAGTCCTGGGTCTACAGCCTCAGTCCTGGTTCTACAGCCTCAGTCCTGGGTCTACAGCCTCAGTCCTGGGTCTACAGCCTCAGTCCTGGGTCTACAACCTAAATGCTAAATGCCTCACTCACTCGGGCTCATTACATACGTCACGGTAAACTCAGATCCAATCGTTTCATTCTGGAAAAGGAGTTAACCCCTCCCACCTGTTAACTGAGTCATTGGAGCAAATCCAGACCTTGGTACGAAAAGAAATGAGTACCATGGTACGGTAAGACCAGGCTACCGAAAAAGAACAAAAATGTATACAAAGATTTCATTTAAAGATATGACAGAAGCCAAAAAGGCAAACATATGATTAGTAGTTCACTGTCTTCAGAGCGAGGCACTGGCTATCATCACAGGCTTTTAGTGTTTTTGGCTCCATAATTAGGGACCCCAGCTTTAACCACAGAGCCCACTGGTTTGGGAGACGATCTGAGCGGCAGTCTGATGTTAGCGGAGCTCGGCAGGGTGCGCCCCGTGATGAGAATCAATCGAGAAGCCAACGAGCCGGCCCCTCTCTCCTCACTTTCTCAAAACGATCTCTGCTAATGAAGCCGCTGAAGCCACTTAAGGCTGAGATCTGAAATACGGACGTCTCTCTGTCGCTTTCTTCAGCTTCGACAGGCCATTTTTAGGAACTTTGCTGTGATATCTTTTTCGTTTTTGTGTAATTTGATGTTTTCTAATTTCACGTTTCACGCTTCTAATTTCCGAGAACTAATAATGAGAGAAAATACTTTGGCTGGAGTTGGAATGTCTGTCTCTGCAACATTTTACTGCAGTAGTTTATAAGTAACAAGATTAGTTTTATTGGGTCTTTGGATGAAAAAGTTATATACAGGCTTTTAATGCATGGTTTGCGGTTGTGTATCACGACAAGAAGGTTCTGGGTTCAATTCCATCTCCAGGACTTTATGAGTGGGGTTTGCATGTTCTTCCCGTGTCGGTGTAGGTTTCCTCGAGGTGATCCGGTTTCCCCTACCACTAAAACACACGTATAGTCCCCCATTACCCCTCAGTGATCAGACATCATCTCTCTCTCTCTGGTCTCTCTCTGGTCTCTCTCTGGTCTCTCTCTGGTCTCTCTCTGGTCTCTCTTTGGTCTCTCTTTGGTCTCTCTCTGGTCTCTCTCTGGTCTCTCTTTGGTCTCTCTCTGGTCTCTCTCTCTGGTCTCTCTCTGGTCTCTCTCTGGTCTCTCTCTGGTCTCTCTCTGGTCTCTCTCTGGTATCTCTTTGGTCTCTCTCTGGTCTCTCTCTCTGGTCTTTCTCTGGTCTCTCTCTGGTCTCTCTCTCTGGTCTCTCTCATCTCTCTCTCTGGTATCTCTCTGGTCTCTCTCTGGTCTCTCTTTGGTCTCTCTCTGGTCTTTCTCTCAGGTCTCTCTCTCTGGTCTCTCTCTCAGGTCTCTCTCTCTGGTCTCTCTCATCTCTCTCTCTGGTCTCTCTCTGGTCTCTCTTTGGTCTCTCTTTGGTCTCTCTTTGGTCTTTCTCTCTGGTCTCTCTCTGGTCTCTTTCTGGTCTTTCTCTCTGGTCTCTCTCATCTCTCTCTCTGGTCTCTCTTTGGTCTCTCTCTGGTCTCTCTCTGGTCTTTCTCTCTGGTCTCTCTCATCTCTCTCTCTGGTCTCTCTTTGGTCTCTCTCTGGTCTCTCTCTGGTCTCTCTGGTCTCCCCTACCTGGATTTCCCCTACCACTTAAAACACATACTATAGTTCCCCATTACCCCTCTCCCGCCGCCTCTCTCTTGCGCCAGGATTCTGAAGACCCAGTTGGACTTTCCCGGTTAAATAAAGGTAAATAAATTCACAAAAAAACAGATTCGAGAAAGAACAACAAACACATAAAAGTCATTCGTCCATCGGGAGCGGGACGTCCACTGTCCATAACCAGTCTGGATCATCACTGTCCTTGGACCCTCCAGAACCAGAGAGGAACCAGTCAAAAAAACAGTGTAGTAAGTACATTTCGATCCTGGTCGTGGGTGTGGACTGGAGCCTCGAACCAACGATGAACTGGAGATATGAACCATAAACCAGCTCATCAAAATTCCCTTTTAGACCATGAACAGTACATTCCAAAACAGAGGTTCTTCCAAGACTCTTAAAGTTCTCAGAAAAATCAATGATTCTTCTGGTCCCTGGAAAAGCCATGTTCCAGTTTCTTCCCTCTGGCAGAAGATCTCATTCGCTGACGCGCAGGACATTTAGATGTGATTACAGCTTCTTTCCACAAGCTGTGATCAGTCTGTCTCTCTCTAGTCACTCTGGTCTCTCTCTGGTCTCTCTCTGCTCTCTCTCTGGTCACTCTGCTCTTTCTCTCTGGTCTCCCTCTCTTCTCTCTGGTCTCACTGGTCTCTCTCGCTGGTCTCTCTCATCTCTCTCTCTGGTCTCTCTCTCTGGTCTCTCTCTGGTCTCACTCTCTGGTCTCACTCTCTGGTCTCACTCTCTGGTCTCACTGGTCTCTCTCGCTGGTCTCTCTCATCTCTCTCTCTGGTCTCTCTCTGGTCTCTCTCTCTGGTCTCACTCTCTGGTCTCACTCTCTGGTCTCACTGGTCTCTCTCGCTGGTCTCTCTCATGTCTCTCGCTGGTCTCTCTCATCTCTCTCTCTGGTCTCTCTCTCTGGTCTCTCTCTGGTCTCCCTCTGGTCTCTCTCGCTGGTCTCTCTCTCTGGTCTCTCTCATCTCTCTCTCTGGTCTCTCTCTGGTCTCTCTCTCTGGTCTCACTCTCTGGTCTCACTCTCTGGTCTCACTGGTCTCTCTCGCTGGTCTCTCTCATCTCTCTCTCTGGTCTCTCTCATCTCTCTCTCTGGTCTCTCTCTGGTCTCTATCACTCTAAACAGAGCACTTGATGATCATTATTCAAACAGTTTTTATTGATTAATTTCACAGTGACAATTCTTTCTTGTACTTATTTTTCTCGTTTGTCTTTGTCTGGTTTTCTCTGGGGGACTCTTGCACATGCTTTTCAGTGCAATTTTTCTGCAAATGGCTGAATATGAATCAGAATTCTTAGCTACCTCCGGCTCAAACCTAAAAATCTAACCCGGGGAGAATGCTGTAATGCTATGCAGCCCATTCATAATTCAAGTCATGTCCAAACACATGAGACATATCTCCTCTCGCTGCTCTCTGTGTCACTATGGAGACAGAGCTTCCAGAGCGCGCCCTGTGATTGGCCGATGCGCTCTGCCACTTGATGTCTCCTTTTTCTAGTATATTTAATCCCAGAGTCTGCGGCCTGGCAGGTCCACTCTTCCATTCTGCGTTTAATGTTTTTCCTCTCTCCTGGAAGCTCGCATCCATCCATCAAAGCCTTTAGTCTGGCCTCAAAGTGCTCATGTTCAAGGACTCTTCAGACCACCCTGGAAAAGCCATGTTCCAGCTTCTTCTCTCTGGCAGAAGATAGATAGATAGAAGATAATAATAATAATTCATTGGTTTTATATAGCGTTTTTCAGGTCACTCAAAGACACTTCACATGTCATTATTCATTCACTCCAAACACGGTGCTGATAAACTACTACAGTAGCCACAGCTGCCCTGGGGCACACTGACAGAAATGAGGCAACCAGTCTGTACCATGGGCCCCTCCCACCACCACCAACCATTCACACACATACCAGACTCATTCTAATGTGGGGAAAATGTCTTGCCTAAGGACACAACCACAGTTTGGCACTTTACAGGTGTTCCCAGAGGTCTCCCATCACAGCACTAACCAGGCCCTGCTTTGCTTAGCTTCTGACGGGATATGGCTTTCACCTACAGAAATGACCATTATAACAACGCAGAGCTTGTTATTTAAAAAAAAAAATTTGATTAGTTTCACAGAGACTATTACTTCTTGTACTTTTTTTCCTTGTTTTATTTATTTACCCTGCAAAAAGTGATTAAAAATAAGTCAACATTTTCCCAAATTTGACAACAAAAATTCTTAATTTTGACTGCCTTCAAACATTTGTCAGTGGGACAAAGCAAAATCATAATGTTTTAAAAATATACAAGAAATATCTCCCACACAGACAGAATGTGTCAGATTAAGATAAAAAACATTAGATTTAAGCCATTATTACATCATATTTTAACATGTTTTGCGGTGACCTCTCTAGTGCACACTGGAGTACACTCTTGCACATGTATTCCAATGGGGTTTTACTGCAAACGGCAAACATACTGACTGTGAATCCTCTGTCGTCTCTCTCTGATCAGACGGGAGCCTCTACTCTGCGCTGTCGTCCGTGGGAGGTCACGCCGGATCCATACGCCGCACGTTCGGGCCCCAGAAGCTGCTGAAGACGGAGAACATTTGGCTGATGAGTGAGTAGGAGGAGAAATGGCACCGACAACACACAACCTCATGAATATGAAGAGACCCGGAGGGAAGAGGAGAGAAGAGGAGAGGAGAGGAGGGAGAGAGGAGGGGAGGGGAGAGGAGAGGAGCGGAGGGGAGAGGAGAGGAGGGGAGGGGAGAGGAGAGGAGGGGAGGGGAGGGGAGAGGAGAGGAGAGGAGAGGAGGGGAGAGGAGAGGAAAGAAAGGGAAAGGAAGGAGAGGAGAGGAGAGGAGGGGAGAGGAGGGAGAGGAGTGGAGAGGAGGGAGAGGAGAGGAGAGGAGAGGAGAGGAGGGGAGAGGAGAGAGGGGGGAGAGGAGAGGAGGGGAAGTAAGGGAGAGGTGGGGAGAGGCTGGGAGAGGAGAAGAGAGAAAAGAAAGGGAGAGAGAGGAGAGGAGGGAGAGGAGATGAGAGGAGAGGTGAGAAGGGGAGAGGAGAGGAGAGGAGGTAAGAGGAGGGAGAGGAGAGGAGAGGAGAGAAGGGGAGAGGTGAGAAGGAGAGAGGAGGGAGAGGAGGGAGAGGAGAGGAGAGAAGGGGAGAGGTGAGAAGGAGAGAGGAGGGAGAGGAGAGGAGGGGAGGGGAAGTAAGGGAGAGGTGGGGAGAGGCTGGGAGAGGGGAGAGGAGAGGAGGGGAGAGGAGGGGAGATGAGAGGAGAGGAGAGAGAGGAGAGGAGAGGAGGGGAGAGGAGGGGAGAGGAGAGGAGAGGAGAGGAGAGGAGAGGAGGGGAGGGGAAGTAAGGGAGAGGTGGGGAGAGGTGGGGAGAGGCTGGGAGAGGGGAGAGTAGAGGAAAGAAAGGGAGAGGAGGGAGAGGAGAGGAGAGGAGAGACTCGGAGAGGAGAGGAGGGGAGGGGAGAGGAGAGGATTATTCTGTAACTTCTAAGACATGCCACTGGAGTACTTAGTCACTTAGTTAGTTAGATACTTTATTGATCCCTGTAGGAGAAATGCAGGTGTCCAGTAGCAGCAAAAATATATAACAAATGAGCTGATTATTCTAAAAAGCTGGTTTTAGACTGATGTGGCCTTCAGGTCACAACAGCAGAGGTGGAGCTGCTTGGTTCAGACCATTTTCTCTGCTCTGGTCCAAAGTAAAACGCTGAATGCTTCATTAGCATTTTTCAAAAAGTCAGCACTGGTGCCAAGACCTGAGACCAGGACTAATGTAATGGTACTTCCTGGTTCTAGTCCGGACTAACTCTGTCTAATGACCTGAAATGGGTTAAAAACACTGACCGAGTCGTAAAGAAAGCTCGTCAGCGTCTCTACTTCCTGCGGAAACTTAGAGAATTTACCACTAACTCTAAGATTCTGCTGAACTTTTATCGCTGCACCATTGAGAGTTTGCTTGTTGGTTCTGTGTCTGTGTGGTTCGGTAACATCACAGATAAAGAAAAGAGAGCTCTAAACAAGGTGCTCCGCTCTGCAGAGAGGACCGTGGGCTGCGAGCTTCCTGTTCTGGAGGTTCTTTATCAATCCAGACTTTTTAACAGTGCCCTGAGAATTATCAGAGACTCTTCTGGCCACCCAGGAAAAGCCTTGTTCCAGCTTCTTCCCTCTGGCAGAAAATACTGTTCCCTGAGATGCAGGACATCTCGTCATGCTAACAGTTTTTTTCCACGAGCTGTTAACAGTTTGAATAGAGCACTTTAATGTTTTGCACTCGTATAGATCTGTTTTAAGTTGGTCAACTTCACGGTGACATTTGTTGTGACATTTGTTTACTGTTTTTAAAATTTGTTTTATTTTTGTCTTTTAATGTTGTTTTGTGTCTGTACTTGTCCTGTGCACACGGGGAACTTTTACAAATGTATTCCAATGTGGTGTATACATACTGCAAATGGCGAAATAAATGAATCTGAATGAATCTGAATCTGACTCGAGCTGCAGTGTTTTGAATCTACCGCAACTGTTTTAGAACTGGTTTTGCAGAGACCAGTGAGCAGCCGTTACAGTCGTCTAACCTACTGTGGAGTGAGGCAGGATAAGAATCTCCAAGTCTACTTTAAAGTTATCCAACCAGTTATCCAAAAATAAAAGTCAAACTGATAATAATAAAATAGATAAAACTGAGGACAACAAAACTCATGCGCTGTCCACTTTAGACTACTACTTTATATATTTGAGACATTCTGAAATCTGGGGCTTGGTTAAATTAAAGTGAATAACTCTCGTCAGTGTCAGACTCGTGTGATTGATGCTACGGATAAATAACATGCATTGATGAAACTTCAAAGGGCTACAAGGGGAGATAAATGTAAAAAGTGCTCTGACAAAATGAAAATAGATCTTTTGGCGTCCTGCCTCGACGGCGCCACCTGCTCCTCCGTCGCAAACATTCTTCATTATGTTCAAGATTTACTGCAATTATTTGACACTCAATAAATCCAACACAGTTTTTCCCAAAGGCAGATTAGTAAAACTCTTGCTGTGTGAGGCTCTGCAGGTCTTTACTTCCTGCTGCTGTCAGACTGTACAACGAGAACTGCAGAGCCTGTACAAGTGCCCTTCGTCCGCTCTGATAATTCACTTTCACTCCAAATCTGAGGTCATGGAGGTTCTTTGAGCGACGGGCGTGAGACTGACAGACGGATTAGGGGTCACTGTAGACTGTTGGGGTCGAGAGGGAGCAGCGGCTGCAGTCAGAGCTGTAGCAGACTGTTATTGTGAAAAGGGGCTTTCCATTTACCCGTCACTCAAATCTCTCACTCGTTGCTAATCACAGTAAGGACGAGTTTGCAGATACAGAAGCAGAGTGGCTGGGCGCTCCCTCAGAGAGATACCGTGAGGAGCTCGGAGTAGAGCCGCTGCTTCTCCACGTCGAGAAGAGCCAGTTGAGGTGGCTCGGGCATCTGTTCCGGACGTCTCTCTGGGGAGGTGTTCTGGGCATGTCTCAGTGGGAGGAGACCAGGAGGAGACCAGGAGAAGACCAGGAGAAGACCAGGAGGAGACCAGGAGGAGACCAAGAGGAGACCAGGAGGAGACCAGGAGGAGACCATGAGGAGACCAGGGGGAGACCAAGAGGAGACCAAGAGGAGACCAGGAGGAGACCAGGAGGAGACCAGGAGGAGACCAGGGGGAGACCAGGAGACCAGGGGAAGACCAAGAGGAGACCAGGAGGAGACCAGGAGGAGACCAGGAGAAGACCAGGAGGAGACCAGGAGGAGACCAGGAGGAGACCAGGAGAAGACCAGGAGGAGACCAGGAGGAGACCAGAAGAAGACCAGGAGGAGACCGGGAGGAGACCGGGAGGAGACCAGGAGGAGACCAAGAGGAGACCAAGAGGAGACCAGGAGGAGACCAGGAGGAGACCAGGAGGAGACCAGGAGAAGGGGAAGACCAGGAGGAGACCAGGAGGAGACCAGGAGGAGACCAAGAGGAGACCAGGAGGAGACCAGGAGAAGACCCAGGACACACTGGCGGGTCTGTGTCTCTCTCTCTGGTCTGGGAAGGCCTCAGGATTCCCCCAGATGAGCTGGAGCAAGTGTGTGTGGAGAGAGAAGTCTGGACATCTTGGCTCTGACAGCTGCCCTCGCGACCCAGCAACGGATGAGAGGATTTTTTTTTATTTACAACTTTCAACTTGTCACTCAGAAGGCATTACCCGAAAGCCTTGAGGATTAGGAGCTACTGTATAATTTACAATTTACTGATTGAATGAAACTCGCATCAAACTTAATCCGATTAGCGTCATTAGGTCTCTTCATAGATTTGCACTAATGTTTTCTGTGTGGAGGCTGTGTCACGTAAACAGCCTCCACACATAATGCATGTTCTCTTGTCTCCTTTCTATGGAGCCATGACACTACAGCCCTCTGCTAACAGCGTATTGATCCACTACAGCTCTCACACGTCTCTCTGTTCCCAGATCCACAGTTTGCTGGAGCGGCCATGATCCCCACGTCCCTCAGAGACAAAGAGGAGATGTATTTCTTCTTCAGCGAGTTCAACAAGACGGCGAGAGTGGACGAGGAGCCGTACAGAGCGAGAATAGGCCGTGTCTGCATGGTAAGAGCTGTGAAAGAGGTGGTTGGATGGATGGATCGAAAGATATGTAGATAGATAGATAGATACATAGATAGAAAGATAGATACATAGACAGATAGTGTGGACCTTGGTTATTAAACAGTATGTAAGTATTATGTTTTTACTTCAGCTCGTCCCGCTCCGTCACCTCCGCCCTTTGTTCTCCAGAAGTTGAATTTAATTGGGAGAAGAACACACCACACCCCCCCGTTAGCTCACAAACACCCTTTGTTGACAAAACATGAATCCCTGTGGACACAAAGCTCTTTTACCCAGCCTATGCCAACCTTACCCTTCAATGTAAAGAGTCTGATGTGCTCCTGCTTGGTTGGAATGAAAACCTGCAGCCTATTGCCAATAGCCCTGGACTATTGGCGACGATTGGACGGGCGACACGGTGGCTGAGAGGTTAGCACTCTCGCCTCTCAGCAAGAAGGTTCAGGCTTCAAATCCCGGTCGGAACAGGGCCTTTCTGTGTGGAGTTTGCATGTTCTCCCCGTGTCTGCGTAGGTTTCCTCCAGGTACTCCGATTTCCCCTAACACTAAAAACATGTCCAATAGTCCAGGGTGAATGAGTGTGTGTTTGTGAATGCGAATGTAGGACAATGGATGCAAATTAGCCCAACGCTACAATCCGGAGTGATGTGTTCTTGAACATGTACTGTCCCAACCAAATACAAAATAAATAAACTATAATCTGACACAGACGGTTACCTAACTGAGAGTCCAGAGACAAGCCAAATATATACCATCACATCCAAGCCTCACTGTTTTTGTTTCCCAGCTTTAGTGCTTCACTCTGACTCCTGACTGTGTCCTGACTGACTTCTTTGCTGAGTGCAGGTGGATGAAGGAGGCATCAAGGCCCTGCTCCCGGACTCCTGGACCACGTTCCTGAAAGCTCGCATGATGTGTGGAGCAGGCAACACCCAGCAGCAGTACAACAACCTGCGACAGGCCGTGGTGCTGACGGCGCAGGACAAGAGAGCCGGGGTTCTCTACGGGCTCTTCTCCAACGCATGGTGAGTGCAGACAGAGAGGAGACAGTGTTTAAAGTCTGACATTATGTGTGTCCGAGCTCATCGAACGACTGGGATTTAAGCCTGTCCAGTTAAGAGCCGTGAATTTATTTCCCGACATTAAATGAGTGGTTTTGTTCTATGGAGGTTTTAATTAACAGCTTCAAAGTCTGAGCTGGGGCTGGTCTGCCCCAGTAACTCCTAAAGTCTGGTTTTCACAGAGAAGGATTGCGTCTTAAATAGGCCTATATATATACCTGGTTTGTTAAACTCCAATTTATTTATTTTATTTATTTATTTATTTGATAGGGACAAGTGTACACAATCAACAATTAAAACACATTTTACATTATAATATTCACATGATACATAAAGCAGGTTTGTTTGAATAAATTGCTTGAGTTTGTGATTAAAACCAGCCCAGTCAGAGTTCAGTTTCAGCTTAGGGCTTAAAGAGTTCTAGAGCTTTTACCCCTGCACCGAGAAGACCGACTGTCCGATTGTGGTTCTCCTGAGGGCCAATGTACCATGGACCACGTGGACGTAACACGCAGCATGCAGAAATTCAGTCTGGTGGTCTCCATGCTGCAGCCCATCCAAGCCGGCCCCTTTATCCCGGTTTAAAATTGGAAACTTCCAAAATTGAACACTTTTCCAGCCTCGCAAAGAGTTTGTTCTAGCCTCACTTTCATCTACTCACAACCACCACCTCCTCCTCAACCTTTGAGTGCACCACCAGTACCGAGGCCTAATGCCACCCCCAGGAGAGAGAGAGAGAGAGAGAGAGAGAGAGAGAGAGAGAGAGAGAGACCTTCTGCGATATGGTGTTGTCATACAGAGAGTGATTTCGCCCATTTGACAAAGCACCCAGGATGCTTCGTCCATTGTACTGTGGGAAAATGAGTTGAAAGCATGGACGAGACACAAGGAGACTAACCAACCCATCAGAAGGACTGGTATCATCATGCACTTAGGAAAAAATAAGTGTGTGTGTGTGCGTGTGTGTGTGTGTGTGTGTGTGTGTGTGTGTGTGTGTGTGTGCGTGTGTGCGTGTGTCTGCCCAAAACCTCACAAACCAACTCCATGAGGGTGGCTTGAGATTGGCAGATTCTCTCCATTGGCGCCAGGTGCTCTTCACAGGTGGGAGGAGTGACAGGCACCACTGGAGTCTGTAGATTTTGTGGAGAATCCGCATTGTCAGCACTTGGATAACTTCCTGGAACTAAAATAACCCTTTTGCTAGAAGTTTTAGACCCCCTGCTTTTGTCAATCCATTAAGACTTCTTGAGTTTTAAGTGGTGTTGTTTAGATGTTCCCTTTAAAGATAAAGTGCTCAGATAGAGCCAAGAGGAAAATAATATTACTCCAACTATAGCGGTCTGGAGATATTTGATTTTGCTAAAAGAGTCGAATAATGGTGTTGGAATTCACATGCATATCACAGTAGTTTCATAATATAATTGCTAATAACAAGATGGAATTGTTGCATGGGTTGGTTGTTATACGCCCAGTTTCTTATGGTAAAATAGAAAACCTAAATGTACAGTAGGTCCCACTTCGTTTTGTCGCCTTTCACGCGTGAATCACACGAGACTCACGTGTGATTCACGCGTCTTTTATTTATTTTTTCCCCAGTCATGCTGCAATGACCCAAACAACCACCAGGTGGCACTTGTGAGCAGGGTTAGGAAAATTGGCTTCTCATCGGTCTTTGTTCTCTGTTCACCGGACAACTTTCTGTGGCTTTATAGCTCAATGATAAGGAGGTGGACTCTGGTGTGAGAGGACTCGGGTTCAAGTACAGTCTATGACACTTTTGATTTTGTTGACGTTTACATTTTTTCTAAAACATACTTAGTAATAAAATGAGAGTCATAACAAGACCTTTTTTAGTTCTGCGCCACATGTGTGCGTCACTAGGCAAAACAGGTTTGCACGCAGTCTTATACCTGAGCGTTTAAGTCGCTGGCAGAGCTAAAGCGGACTTAACCTGCCACCTTGTGGCAATAGGATGTAATATGTTTCACGCAGCTGCGTGATTCCCGAAAAGCGTGAATGAAGATGACAAAACGAAATGGGACCTACTGTATGTTAGTGAATATGGAAGACGTCAAAAGAATCTGAAAGTAAAGACACACGGGTGAGACGATTGACAGAAGTTTTTAGAAATTGTGGAAAATCCGCATTGTCAGCACTTGTATAACTCCCTGGAATTTAAATAGCCCTCTTACCAGCAGTCTTAGACCCCCCGGCTTTAGTTAATCAATGAAGACTTCTTGAATTTTAAATGTTGTTGTTTAAATGTTCCCTTTCTGTTGTTGTCAACCATAGACTGTGAATATTAACGAACGTAGTCACGCCTATCTCCGCCGTTGAAACTAATGTGCCATCACTTTCACCATCTATGAGCCGTTTCAAAATGGCCGCGGGAACTGAAAAATGTGAAAAAAACGCATTTGCGCAAACGTCAGCTGCACGAGCCCCATTCATTTAACGAGTGCCTTCAAAAGTCCACCGCAACTAAACTAGACTGGTCCAAAACACCCCCCCCCAACATTGACACACATGTGGAACGAGCTTTGGACCGAGAGCCACTTTTGGACCGTCCTGTAAAGACGTTTTCGAGGGGCAAGAAGATGCTACACATTAGAATTGGCTAATTCTTGTTCCTGGTCCACCCCCATCGGCCCGGGGTCGTATTCCAGCATGTCAGCGCATGTCATTTTGGACCCGCCGCCCACTACTGTCAACACTAAAACACCGCAAATCTCTCTCTGTATCGTCCAAATGTCACCTCGATCATCGACAAATGAGTTCATGCACAGAACAAGCGGGATCCTGTCTCTGTATCTGTGTGACTGTGTAATGGACGCCGGCCCCTGCTCTGGCTCCCACAGTCATTAACATGCACGCCTCCTCACTCACTGTCTGGCCCCGTCTCGTCCCACATGCTTTGCCTTCGTCTCATCTACAGCAGTAGGTTTTTTTTCTCCTCCAATCATGTCGACAATCTGCCACAGAACCGTCCTCAAAGTTGGCAAATCCTGTCACTCTGATTACAGCGATCAGACGTTGCTGCGGAGGGAGACGGAGGCCGAGGACTGGGCACTTATTAGCACCGGGGGTTTTAGAATTATGGTAAATAAAGAGGCTGCAGAGTAAGACACCAGTGGCCTTTTATCACCATTCACCCTTATTAAGTTTGTGTAAGCCCTCAGTCGTACAGGGATAGTCAAAGCAAAGGAAGGTTTCTCACCCATCATCTGTACTTCTTAGCAAGTTTTCCCGACGTTTCGTCCTCAATCCTAAGGACTTCTTCAGGGAATTAATTCTCAGACCGCGCGTTCGAGATTTATAGCCTATAAACAACATCCTAAAAACAACGCCCTAACTTGGGACAAGGTCAGTGACATGCTAATGAGTTAGGGTCGTTAGCCTCAGCAGGGTCGTTAGATCTGCTCCCTTCTACATCAAACAGACCTTAGATTGTTTATGAGTTAGTATCAGGATTAGGGTGTGGCTAACCACACCCATAGGTTATAAATCTCCAACGCGCGGTCTGAGAATTCATTCCCTGAAGAAGTCCTTTGGATTGAGGACGAAACGTCGGGAAAACTTGCTAAGAAGTACATATGATGGGTGAGAAACCTTCCTTTGCTTTGGATTCACCCTTATTCACCCTCACCCAGGTCTTTCTGCTGCTGTCAGACTGTACAATGAGAACTGCTGAGTCTGTAAATGTCATTCATCTGTAAATAAGTAAATACTAAAAACATGTGCAATCTGCAATACTGCAACTTCAGAGGAGAGACCAGAGAGAAATAAACCAGAGAGAGACCAGAGAGAGGGAGCAAAGAGAGCGAGACCAGAGAGAAACAAACCAGAGAGAGAGAGAGAGCGAGACCAGAGAGTGAGAGATCAGAGAGAAACAAACTAGGGACACCAGAGAGAGAGAGACCAGAGAGGAGCAAAGAGAGAAACAAACCAGAGAGAGAGAGCAAAGAGAGAGACCAGAGAGAGACCAGAGAGAGACCAGAGAGTGAGAGACCAGAGAGTGAGAGACCAGAGAGAGAGAGGCCAGAGAGAGGCCAGAGAGAGGCCAGAGAGAGACCAGAGAGAGACCAGAGAGAGAGCGAACAGAGAGAGACCAGAGAGAGACTAGAGAGAGACCAGAGAGAGACCAGAGAGACCAGAGAGAGACCAGAGAGAGACCAGAGAGAGACTAGAGAGAGACCAGAGAGAGACCAGAGAGAGGCCAGAGAGAGACCAGAGAGAGACCAGAGAGAAACCAGAGAGTGAGAGACCAGAGAGAGGCCAGAGAGAGGCCAGAGAGAGACCAGAGAGAGACCAGAGAGAGGCCAGAGAGAGGCCAGAGAGAGACCAGAGAGAGACCAGAAAGAGGCCAGAGAGAGGCCAGAGAGAGACCAGAGCGAGAGAGACCAGAGCGAGAGAGACCAGAGCGAGACCCGAGAGAGACTAGAGAGAGACCAGAGAGAGACTAGAGAGAGACCAGAGAGAGACCAGGGTGAGACCAGAGAGAGACCAGAGAGAGACCAGGGTGAGACCAGGGTGAGACCAGACTGTGGGACAAATACAGGATCTCTCATCTTATTGGTTTGTTGAGTCACTGGACACTATTTGTTCTTGTATTCTTTATTCCATCTTCTTCTTCTACGTTCTATCTCCTGCCATGGATTTTGGCACTTTTCAACTCAATCAAGTGTTAAGTTTATGTAAGCTCTCAGTTGTTCAGGGATTATGCAAAACAAAGGAAAGTTATAAATCTCCAACTCGCGGCTGAGCACTCATTCCCTTGAAAAAGTTCTTTGGGTAAGAACGAAATGTCGGGAAAACCTGCCAACTGAATCACAGACGATGGGGGAGCACCTTTCATTTGTTTCAGTCAAGTGCTGTACCTTGTTTGGTTTGGTTTTGGTCTAATGGGGCTGTTTTTGGGTATGCTTCCTTTGTAGTATTTGTGCTTACTGCAGGCTCACATCTCCTCAC